TAAACCGCATTAAAGGTAAATTAGGAAATATTGACAACGAATATTTGGATAAATTATTAGCCGACCAAAAAGAATTAAACAAAAGCCTAGAAGATTTACAAAGTCAATTACAAGCCAGCAAAAACCAGCAAACCAAATCCAGTCGAAAAATTGCTAACTTGGAAAGAAAAATTACTAACCAAGACACAAAGTTAAATAACGATAGAGAAAAGTATCAACAAGAAGTAAAAGAATGAAAAATCAAAGCGACAAAATATTCAAAAGAAATCAGGAGTTTAGAATTAGAACTTAACGATAGACAAGCCCAACAAGCAGAATTAGAAATCAAACTCCAAGCAGTCAAAATTGAGCGAAATGAACTAGAAATCAAACTTAATTCCGCCCAATATGAATTAAAGCAGAAAAATAAAGAAGCATTACATCAAGAGGAAAAGCAAAACCGACAAAGAGCAATTTGAGAAGAAGAAACCCAAGAACTACAAAAGAAGATAAAAGATTTAGCCGAACAATTAGGAACAGACGACCAAAAATCCAAAGGCAAATCCAAGCAAAAACCCAAAAAAGAAACAATAACTATTGAATGAAGTAAGGAAACTTTGCAGGAAATAATAAAAAATCTAAAAGAGAAATTACAAACCAACAAAACTAGCCTGAGTGATTGTAGTGATAATTTAGAGCAAGCCCAAAACGAATTAAACCGCATTAAAGGTAAATTAGGAAATATTGACAACGAATATTTGGATAAATTATTAGCCGACCAAAAAGAATTAGCGACAGTAAAAGCAGAATTAGCCGAAACTCAACAGCAACTAAGATTAAAAGAAACCGAACTGAATGACTTAAAAACACAACTCCAAACTGCCACAGATAATTTAACTACTAGCCAAGCAGAAAACACCGAACTAAATAAGCAATTACAAAATAAAGATAATCAAATTGACAACTATAAAGGAGAATTAAGCAAAACCGAACAAATAGCTCAAAATTATTGCACTACTAGCCAAGAGCAGTTAAAGAAAAGCGAAAACGAAACTAAATCACTTGAAAAACAACTAGACCAAACCAACTCTAATGCCCAAAAGTTAAAAACAGATTTAGCGGATTACGAAACACAAAATAAAGATTATTATCACAAAATTAATAACCTTGAACTTGAAATTGGAAACTTAACTGATAAATTAAATGAACTTAAAGCACAAAACCAAACTCTTACGAAACAAGCCCTAAATGATAAATCCACCATTAGCGATTTAGAAAATGAAATTATAATTTTTGAAGAAACACATTTAGCAGAAACTAAATTTAGCCAACGATTATCGAGAAAACTAACCGGTAGCAAAAAACAAATCCAAGATAAAAATATCCAAAATGCCAAATTAAAAAAAAGAAATAGAAGATAAGGAAAATTGGATTTTAGAAATAGCGAAAGAACTAGAAGAAGAAATAAAAGCCAATGATAAACTATATTCAGATTTGGAAAATCTTTCGGCAAGAGAGGAGGAAAGTTGTAATTTGATGTTGAAAGCAAAAGAAAATTTAATTAAACTAACTACTCAAAACGCTACCTTAGATAGAAACTTAACAGTAAAACAAGGAGAAGTAAATCATTATTTTAACCAGTGCCGAGAATTATTATTAAAATTAAAAGAAGTTAAGGATGAAAACGAAGAATGAAGAGAAATTATTAGTGAGTTTTCCGAAGAATTAGCAAAAAATGCCCCAGATTACAAAGTTAACAAGAACAAACCTAAAAAAGAAGCAATAACTGTTGAATATAGTCGAGAACTTTTGGAGGAGATAATAAAAATAGTAGGAAGGCGAATAAAAGCCCAACACAAAAAGAACGCTAATTTACAAACTAAACTAAAAGAGTTAAATGCGGAATGGAAAGAAAGAGTTAACCAAGTCCAAGATTTAGAGGAAATTCTGGCTGATAAAAATAGTAAAATTGCTAAAAATAGCCAAATTGTTAAAGGCAAAGATAATAAAATAAATAAGTTAAAAAATGAAAAAGAGCATTTAACTGAAAAATGGCAAGAAGAACAAGGGTTAGTTAATGGTTTAGAATTTGATTTAGAGAATAAAAACCAGGAATTAACTACTGAAAAAACTAATCACACTAATACGCAAAACCATTTAAATAACCAGCAGCAACAAAATAGTAATCTCCAAACCCAGTTGGTAAATGCTAATAACCAAATAAATCAGGCTGAAATTCATTTAGGAGTTGCTGATTTAAATAATTTACCGAATATGGGGGGCAGAACTTTAATTCAGTTAGTAGGTCATGTTTGTCCTACTCTTCCCCCTCATACTTGTTCGCCATGTGTTCTACCACATTTACCGTCTCCTCATGTTTGTCCGATTGTTAATAATGTTAATTGTTCGCATAGTGATTATGAGGAAATTAAAGAACAAAAAAATACTTATCAATCACAACTAGAAACTGCCCTTAACGAAAAATCAGTCATTATCAGCAAAATTAATCAAGAATGTAATTTAGACTTAAATAACCCAAGTTTAGAGCAAGTAATTACTAAAATTAAAGAACTAATTAACAAACCACCAACTTTCACTGGAAATGATGAGAACTTAAAAAAAGAATTAGAACAAGCCCGACAAAATATTATTGGTTTAGAAAAACAACTCCAAGAATTAATTCCTTTTGATGAAAGATTAGAAAATATTAAGGAAATTGATATAAATTCTTTGGAAAAAGAACTAGATATTAAATTTTCAGCGGAAATTAGGGCAAAAATGCAGCAGGCGATGAATTATCAAGAATATTCCCTTTTAAGAAATTCAGAAATTAAAAAACATTTACAGCAAAGAGCAAGTGATAATTTAATTAGTCAGCCAAGTAAAGAAATACAACTGCCAAAAGAAAGAATGATTTGGATTGGTTTATTGATAATTAGTTGGTTAACTATTGGCGGATTATTAGTGAAGATTGCTAAAAAAAGTAAAAAGAAGAAATAATAAGATATGTTTCTTAGTTTACAAAATTAGTAAAAATAACTTAATATGAAAGAAATAATAATCATTGAAACCAACCAAGCAAAACCGATAAAGAAACTTCTAGAAAAAGCCCATGTAGACTACAAAGTTTACCAAGAACCCGAACAAATTCAAAAAGTAGATATCTTTGCTAATTATGGCAAAGCCATCAAGGATAAAGAAAGAGAAAAGGAATTAAAATTGTGAGATAATACAGACCTAGACGAGGAACTAAATAATGATGGTGAGTGGTGAAGTTAAAAAAGGCGAAGTATACTTATACTGAATTGGTAAGAAAGAAGCCCAAGGAACTGAGATAAAGAAAATTAGACCTGGTGTAGTTATCTCAACTAACAACTTAAATAAGTGGAATTACCGCTTTATTGTTGCTCCAATTACCAAAAGAACTGAGGAATTTTTAGACTTTGAAGTTCCAGTAATAGTTAATGGCAAAGAAGGCTTAGCTATGCTAGACCAAATAAAGACAATTGACAAATCGCGACTAATTAAGAAACTAGGAAAATTAACTGAAAAAGAAATGTTAGCGATTAGAGAAAAGATAGATTTAGTTTTTGATTAATCAAAAAGAAAGTTATTTATCACACTAAAAAACTGCCACTAATGGCTATTAGTTTTCAAATCTTACTTTTTGGTTGGTAATTAGTAAACTTTTTAGGTGAATTATCCGCATAAAGGATTTTTTTTGTTGGTTTATAATCTCACACTTCAATTATCTAACACATAGACGGAAATACTATATTTACAAAGTAAATATAAACCAAACAAAAACTCCCTATATAATCTTCCTCAACCGATAATTATAAAGCATTTGCCTCTTAACTCCCTCAATCTCTAACCCTTTCAACACCCTTTTATTTCCTCGCAAGCAAACATTACAAATTATCCTTTCATCAACCTCCTTTTCTGTTCAAAAACTTACTTTATTTCTTGATAAAGGTTCCTTATCTTTTTTTTTGCCTCTGATTTCATTAGGACAAAAAGAACATTTCGCCCAATAACTTTCCCCATCATATTTATATTGCTGTCTAATAGAAATTTGAGCCTGAATTTCGGTTCTTTCTTGCCAGTTTTGGCAATATTGTTGATACTTCTTTTTTAAATCTCAGTCGGATAATGGTTGAATGTAATCACCAATCGCACAGTTTAAGCATCTTTCCCCACTATATTTATGCTGGTGTTCTTTTTTTTGCTACTTTTTTTTAAAGACTAATAATTCAATTGGGGAATTCAATTATTAGGGAGAATGGTTAAACTCCCCTAATTTATTATCATCAGTTCGAAGTTTTTGGGGGAACCTCTTGGTATTCTTGAGTCTCTGTTAAATTTAAAACCGCCTTTGATTGATTTAGTTGCTTTTCTTTACCAAAGATCATTTGTTTAATTCGAGAAGTTTGGGGTGCGGTATCTTTTAGTGTTAGTGCCTGAACATGTTCTTCCAACTCTTTATTTCTAGTTTCTAAGACAGAAATCAATTTGTGCAAAGAAGCATTATTTAATTGTTCTCGCTTAATTTCATCAACTAACTCTTGGCAAGTTCAATTATCATATCTACTATCTTGAATTCCGCCTAAAAAATTATCCATTCTGCCTTCCTCAATTCTACCTCGTGGTTCATCTTGCCTATTAAAAACTCTTTCTGGCTCTGTTTTCAGAAAGTCAGGCCTGCCCGAAAATCCCGGATTGGGGTTTGGTCAAAGCGGGTAATTAGGATTTTCTCTTGGTCTAGGATTATTATTGAAAAAATTGGGATTATTAGGTAACTGGTAACTAGGTTGCCCTCTTGGTTGATAAGGATTATTCGGTAAACGATAATTATCTTCTCTTTTTGTTTTAGACTCTTTTCTGACCAATTTCGAAATAATAAAGCCTAAAACTTCCTCTCGAAAGTTACGAATTTCTCACACTTCACCTAAACTGTTAATTTTTTCCTGATAATTAGAATATTGTCCTAAATCCTTTACCTTTAAACCTCTTTCATTCATCGACTTTTCTATTTCTTGTAAAGCTACCGTTCTAGCTTGATTTAACTCAGAATCATTTTCGCTTTTTTTCTTATTTTCTTCTCTCATTCTAAGAGTAACTTCGGATTCTTTGATAGCCTTGACCATTTCCTCCTTGAAATTTTTTAATTCTTCACTTCTATCCTTACCTTTGGGAATATTAATTTCCATTTTTACTACTTTTTCTCCCCAACTTTGGTAAGGTTGTCACAAGGCTGGGTCTAAATCTTCTGCGTGAACCCGTGGTAAAGTAAAACAAAAAGCCGCTCCAATTTCGCTAAGAGTCGAGGAGCGATCCAGAGATTTCATCTCTAGTTTAAGAACCTCCAATTCTAGATCTGCAATGTTTACTTCTCTTCTTCTCAACTCCTCCTCTTGCCTTCTAACTTCCTCTTTGGGGTCATATTGAAAATTAAAATCATCAGCGGGAAAATCAGTTAAACCTGAATCATACCTTCTCTTTTTTTCGACATCACTTAGAATATCATAAGCCTTATTAATCTCCTGCATCATCTCATTTGCTTGTTTTCGCTCTTCAAGATTTTTGCCATTTCACTTATCAGGATGTCATTTTAGAGAAAGTTTTCGATAAGCCTTTTTTATTTCTTCTGGGGTTGCTGTTTCGCTAACCTCTAATATTTGATAATATTTTTTTGTCATAGTATTTTTATTTTGGTGGAACTTCTTGTTGTGCTTCGTATTTTGCCTCGTATTGTTGTTGAATTTGTTCTAAATCTCAACTCAATCCAGCAAGTCTTTCACATTCTCGACTAATTTTTCGAATACTTTCTATACTAACTTCTGAACTCAATAAAACTTGTTTGCTTTTAGCAATCTTTCCTTCGCTCTCTTCAACAATCTTTCGATTACGCTCTTTGCGAGCAAATAATAATCTTTGATAATTTTTAGTTAAATTATGAACCTCTTCTAAATTAATTTTCAACTCACTAGCAAAAACTTCTAAATTATCTTTTTCCGAGTTTAACTTTTCAATTAACAATTTTTCTTGTGCTCTAAAATTTTCGTTTTGCAAAACTCTAATTTCTTGTTCCTTTCTTCTCAATTCACCATCTGTATCTTTTAAAGAATTATCCTTTTGGCTAATCACCTTTTCTTTATCCACTCGCAAAGCCTCCATTGCCTTTTCCAATTCTTTTAACTTATCATCTTTTTGGATTAATTTGTCTTCTATTAATTTTAACTGCTCATCTTTTTTAACCCGAACTAAACTTAATTCTTGTCTTCCATCTTCGATTTGCTTCAAAAAACCTACTTTCTCAGTTTTAAAATTTTCCAATTTTTCTTCAACTAACTTTTTTTCATTTCTTAATGTTGACTCCGTGTTTTGTCGACTCAATTTTTCATTAGCCATTTCATTAGCACTTTTAATTTTTTCATCATTCAATTTATCCTTTAATTCATCATGTTTTTTTCTCCAATTATCCCGGTCAGTACGTAAATCATTACGCTCTCTCTCTAATGCACTGTATTTTGTTTTCAAATCTTCGTATTCTGTGTGCGAATGACCACATCCATGATGGCAACTACCTCTTACTTCGCAGGTGCTACCAAAGTAATAGCCACTGTTTCTATAACGAGTCACATCATTATCTATCTCTATAAATTGACCTTCGTGCCAATTATAAAAGGGACAACTATTTGAACAGTAAATGTGCTTATAACTATAACTACCATTATTATAACTTACATAGTTATCTAAATAAAAAAGAACGTAACTTGAACTTACGCTTTTACTTGTTATTCTATATGCCCTTCAATCTACCATATTATTTTTAAATATTTATTATTTTTTTTTTGTTTTTTAATAATTATTAATTTTTATCAAGTTTTTTTCTACTTTTTTTTAATTGAATTTTTTTTATCAGCAACCTCTATTCTTAGCAATCTTAATTCACCTTCGATTAATTTCATTCCATTCTCTAACTCTTTAACCTTAAAAGCAATAGAGTTTAATTCCCGAACAATATTACCAAAAGCAATTAAGAAATGTTTATACTGATTTTCATCCAACTGAATTATAGTTGGTTTTTCTTTTTCACTTGCTTGCTCTGACATATTGACATTTTTTTATAAAGGAAGCAGGAAGTCCAAGAAAGGACTTCCAAACTTTCTAGTTTATTGGCTCTTTTGCTTCTTTTTATGCCTACTAAATCTACTTTTTGCAATTGCTAAACCAGCAACCAGCAAAACGAAAACTACACCAAAAACTATCAAAGTGTTTTTTCCTTTATCAGTTTGTTGAGTATTATTACTACTAGATGCCGAACTATCTGACAACGAAACACTATGATAACTATTTAAACTTTCTTTTCCAATTTTTCCAGAGGATAGAAAATTAATCAACAATGAATCATTTAACACCTCAGAAAGTTCTGTCCTTTCATTGTCAGTAAAAATTTCTACGGGATAAATCAGAGTTCCCAACTCATTGATATTAACTTTGGCTGAACTATGAACCAAACAATCCTGTTTTCCCTTAACTCCACTACTCAAAGTGAAATCTAACTCTTTTACACTTCACTCTTTTATGTCTTTTTTAATCTTTTCAACTATACTTGCGTCCTCAACATTTTCCTCTCGGGCACTTTCTTCTTTATTATTTCTTTCATCTGTTTTAATACTTTCTTCTTCACCACTTAATCTGCCTATTTTACTTTCCTCTTTACTACTTCCCCCACTTGCTTTATTTTCATCAGTTTGTTGACTTTCTTGATTATTTTTTTGTTGACTTTGGCTTTCTTGACCACTCTTTATTCTTTTACTTCCAACAACTTTATCAAATTGAATTCATGTTGATTCATCATTAATTTCGTTTTGATGAAGCGTTTTAGCAGGAGGAACATGAGTGAAAAATGAAACAGTATTTCCATCATCAGTATGATGAATTTGATGATCAGTTATTTCTATTTTTCCTTCTTTTTCTCATTGCCTTCACTGTTCTCCTCTTCTAATAATTTCTTTTCTTATATTTTCTTCACCAACAATTTGCTCACCAGTATTAGGGTCATATATTCTTCTTTGAAAACGAGAATTATCAGGGCAAATCAAATCTTTCTTAGGAGTAGTTTCAATAATCTGCTTCTGCTTTCCATCTTCGTCTTCTAATACTCTAATAGTAACTGACTCCCCCGGATGATTTTTTCGCCATTCTCAGGCTTCTTCTTCTGCTTCTTCATAAAATTTCTTTCTCTGTTCGGGAGTAATCGTGCCTGTGCCATCCTTCGAACGAAGAAAAGCAGTTTTTTTAAACTGATCACCGGTCATAAAATTTACCTCCATATACGAGTATTCCTTCTCAGGAAGTTTATCAAAGATAAAACGACCATTAGAATCGATTCCTATTATTTTATTCTTACTATTATTATTTATATTATTTAGATTTTCATTTGTCATATTCAAAATTTTATTTTATGCTTGTTTATTATGTTATGTTCAAAATTGAGCGAACACATCACCAATCCTGTAACGTGCAATTCGATCATAAAAAAGACCGCTGGCATCCAATCTCGGCACCGGAACCTCTATGGCTTCAGTTACACCAGTTGTCCTCATT